TGTCCATCACGAACACCATGTTCAGGCATAAGGGTGTCCTGGTGCCAAGTGCACATATGGACACCCTTATGCCTGAACATGGTGTTCGTGATGGACAATCCGTGACGAGCACAGAAGTCCAACAACAGAACACCACTCGAGTTCAGATCGGGGGGGCCGTTCCTCCCAACCACGCCCCTCCAGGTCTCACTGTCATTGCCCACGTGAGCATCACAATCTGTCCATCATTAATCTGTCCATCATAATCTGTCAATCTGTCCATCATAATCAATCCATCATATTCTGTCTATCATTAATCTGTCCATCATAATCTGTCCATCATTAATATGTCCATCATAATCTGTCCATCATAATCTGTCAATCATAATATATCAATCTGTCCATCATAATCTGTCCATCATAATCTGTCAATCTGTCCATCATAATCCGTCCATCATAGTCTGTCAATATGTCCATCATAATCTGTAAATCATAATCTGTCCGTCATAAGATGTCCATCATAATCTGTCAATATGTCCATCATAATCTGTCAATCATAATCTGTCCATCATAATCTGTCCATTATCCATCTATCATCCATCCATCCATCCATCCATCCATCCATCCTCCATCCATCCATCCATCCATCCATCCATCCATCCTCCATCCATCCATCAATCCATCCTCCATCATCCATCCATCCTCCATCCATCCATCCATCCATCCAACCATCTATCCATCCTTCCATCATCCATCCATCCATCCATACAACCGTCCATCCATCGTCATCCATCCATCATCTATCCATCCATCATCCATCTATCATCCATCCATCCATCCATCCATCCATCCATCCATCCAGCTATCCATCCATCCATCCATCCATCCATCCATCCATCCATCCATCAATCATCATCCATCCATCCATCCATCCATCCATCCTTTTTGACAGCTGAGCCTGAATCAGCTAAAATCCTGTAATATTTTCAAAATAAAAGCCTTATACTCACCAGTTTAGCAACCAGTCCAGACCCACAGGCAACATCCAGAACCTGAAGCTCCTTAGGATCACCAGAGAAGTTGTCCTTCAGGAAGTCTACAAGGTGCTCTGGTCCCTGGTACTTCAGGAGTTTAACATCCTGTTCAAACATTTCAGAGTTAATCTGACATGTTGATGTTTGAGGCAGGCCAGGTTGGTGAAGATGTAAAGAACATGTCTGTTAGCAGAAGAGTCAGATGAGTGGTTGGTGTGTGTGTGGG